GATCTCACGGACGTTTCTCATTATGGAATATGCTGGTGGCGGTGAGCTGTACACCTATGTTCATTCGAAAGGAAAACTCACGGAAGAAGACTGCAAACCGCTCTTCGCGCAGGTCGTCTCAGCCGTTGCACATATGGTTAGTGTTATGAATGAACAAATCACAGCCAAATAAAAACCAAAGCCTTCTTTCCTGTTCAATATTTGTGGAAGAAGTGGACACTCGGCAAGTTTCGAGGATAGCAAGTACTAACAGCAATTACCCGCTGGCAGTGCTGACGTTGGCTCCTTTTGCGGGGACTGCTTAGAAGTAAAGTGGTTTGGGTCCAAGAATTTCAGCATATGCGCAAGTCACTGGATGACAGTCCCTTTAAAAACAATAAAAATACAATTGGGGCGAATAAGTTTTAAAAATTGCACTACAAAATTGCCTCTTATAAGCAAAACTCTCTGATAATGGATTAAATATTTGTCCATTTTAAACAGGAAAATTGATTACGCGGAGCTAAAGTCGAGAAAAAAACATTTATGACCAGATTAATTCAAGATCAAAGAATGACTTGTACATTGAGTTAATGCACTGATCATTTGTTTTATCATCGCTGCTGACTCAGTTGGCAACTTCTTCATTCTTCTCTATTTTGAGCTTCTCTCAACCACATATTTCCATGAAGCATTTGGAAAGCAGTAACACTTCTACTGCAGTGTAGTGCATCAGTAACAATCAATAATCTGCTTAACACATCTTCCATTTCTCATTCTTGACACATGACCAGCCCAATTCTTGCTTCAATGGAAATGTGCTGCAGTTTGCTGACTTTAAAAAAGGACTTACAGACTGGTACGTTTAAAAGCAATGAACTTGCCATGCGCAGCGGAAACAAACAGTTTTATTTCTCCCTTATGTAATGTTCGACAAATTTTGTATTTCTAGTCATTTTTTTGGATCTTAAAAACGCAACTGCTTTTTAGCATTCGAAGAATATTGTTCATCGTGATATCAAATCAGAAAATGTGATATTTTCAAAACCCGGGTGGATTAAATTAGCCGATTTTGGCTTTTCGTGCCAAGTGTACCCAAACGATAAACTGTCGACATTTTGTGGTTCACCACCGTATGCCGCTCCGGAACTTTTCAAAGGCGAAGAGTACGCCGGTTAGTTTTGTTGCTAGTACACAGAATCCAAGAATTTATTTTGGCAGATTCCAGCATTCCTTCTTTCTTTTTTTTTGTGAAAAGAAGCCAAAAATCCTGAAAATCTTTAAAAATTTTCTAACGAAAGAAAAGTTCGGCAAGCTTATGGCTGGTCGATACTCATATTTTAGAAAATTTCAAAGATTTATTGGTTTCAATGAACAAATAAGCTTAGCCGTCAGGTAGAAAGTGCAATAAGCATTATAAAAGTGCGCACAAAAACACGATGTGCATTTTTAGAATATGTTCCGGGAAAATCTTGCATTGAATTCAGAAAGAAATAGATCTTGGCAGTTTTGGTTTTTTCGGACATAGCTATACCGGAAGTCCTGAACGGACCGAAAATTGCAGTGAATCGGGGTGGAACTGAACCGCACCTTACCGCAGCGGAATGCGACGTACTACCCACCGCACTAACGGCTTTTGCGCTGGAGAATCAGTCTGGCCGTATATTAAACGCATATCTGTCTTTCGATGCAGAATAGACCTTTCTTTTCTTGACCGTCTCCCATAAGCAGTATGCATCTTTTACTCTGCGACGGCTTCTTTGCCGGCTTTTTACGGATTTTCCACGGCATCAGGCTATTCGATCTCGGAGTGGGTAGATTCAGCTAAGACCCACCGTTTTATTAGTGCTTTCTTGACTTTTCTCCCAAGGAAAAAAAAACTTCTATTGTCCGATAATAGATTTGAGTTCAAAACGACCATCGGTTAGTTTCAAAGCCCAAAGATTTTATTGCACATGAAATGACTTTGTTTTATTGTTTGTTTTCATCTGTTCTGGATATCAACGATCCTGCGAGAGCGCAACATTTGCAGGTTTGAATGTTGATGTATGGGCACTAGGTGTGTTGCTCTATTTTATGCTTGTCGGCACAACGCCGTTTCGCGGGGAAACAATCAACGATCTGAAGCAGTGTGTTTTACGCGGTATTTACGTAGTACCTGATTATATTTCAACGTTTGCGCATCATGCCATCGGGCGCATGCTTGTTGTTGACCCAAAAAAGCGAGGCACTATTGAGGACGTGAAAGTATGTATCATCCAGTTTTTCCGTCTTTTTTGTTTTTTATTTTTGATATTTTTTTTTCACGATAATCTTAGTGAAACTTAACGGAACTGTGCTGTTTAGTTTCAATTACGAAGCCTCACGCAGCTTTATATTAGCGATGCCGTGAGCTTCAGAAGTCTCTCCTTCTCAAGTCGTCTACATGAGAGCTCCTTCCCTCACTTTCTTCCTTGACATTGAAAACCCAGATGACTCTCTTGGCAGAACTGAGATCGCTTTTTAAAGGATGTATTCTTAAAGACCGCCTTCCTTGCTGGGTTTTGAACCCCTCAGTTGTTGATTTTTCTGAAACTGGTGTTAATTGTGAAGTGGCGTTCTACAGACTAAAGAAGCATATTTTTGTGTTCTGAACCCTATTTGACGGGCTGGGAAATTAATTTCTCATTTTCACCATCTTCAGATCCTTCGAATTACGACTTGCTAACTGCTGCACTTTTATCTTTCATGAGCTACAACTTGCACGGAGAGCTTGTGAACCCATACATGTGATACTGACATTCATACGCTGTACAGTAATTTGTTGCCTCTCTATTTTTGCTGGCTTTTTACGAATAATCGTGAGAAGTTTTGCTCACTTCTAGTAAAGCGAGCAACTTGTAGATTAATTTTTTTAATAACTTACTAAGTTGTAAAGTATCTTTCATCCTGCGGGACATTTAATTGTCTTTGGTCGGGGCTCAGTGCTCAGAATAGAAGTTGCTTTAAAGCATTTGTCATCTTGTATTTTCCAGTGACCATGCCCAAATTCTCCCTTAAAATTTCGCTGCAACTTGACGTACGGCTTCACACCGAAAAATAGGCTCATTTTTCACCGGTAAAATGAAAAGAAAAAAGGCTTGAGATACCTGTTCTGTGTCCATGTATAGCTGGTTTCTAATACGGCAGAAATACGGAAACACCATTTTATGTCGGAAAGTAAATAAAATGGAGTAACGGTTAGTTAAGTAGTACCATACAGCTTACACAATGATGGCATTGTTTTGTGCGGTATTCAATTGATGCCTGGGATTTCATGAGATAAAACGGGTAAATTACAAAATTCGTGAGGTTTCAGAAAGTCTACTTCCTCAGGGAGAGCAAGTTCACAAAACCGTATGCACAGTGCAGTACAGTACCAGATGAAAAGGAGCTGCAGGAGAATCCGATTGCTCGCAGAGTATGGGATAAACTACATTTGTACGGGATAGACGAGAAAGCAATTAAGGATGCGGCACCAAAGGGAGCGCGTAATGCTATTATTGGTACTTATCGCATCGTACTGCACCAGTCGCAACAAGAATACGATGAGCGCGAGAGAAACAGGGTTCGTTTATTCAAATTTTCTGCAAACACCTTTGCATCAAAAAGTTTGCCCTTTGGATTCTGCATATCCGTTACATACTTTTTTTTTTTTCCTATAATTCAAACCAAGCAATTCTCATTCCTTTTCTTTTGCATTTTTTGTAATTATCATCTATGTTCTAATATTTGAGAAATTATCCGCCTGCTTTAGACGCATTTATTTTACTTTACCCCTTACGCATATTTCAGTACCACGACCGCCATAATAACAGGGTCCAGCTGAGGTGCTGAGCAGGAATGTATACGATTTAACTGACTGAATAATTCCTCCTTATCTAATTATTCCTGACGCATTTTTATATTTAGTACATGTCGCCATTAATATATTTATATAGCAATATCCTTAAAGAAATTTATATGAATTAATAACAGCATCATCATTTAATTTTTAGCACATTTATTAGGGGTAGAGTTGGCAGCATTCAAGACGAGGTTACGTCTCGAATCAGTTAAAGCCTTGCCAAGTGCTTCTGCCGAAAAAATCGTTGAGTTCATAATATTTTCAAGCAGGGAAGCAAAACTTAGAATCGCTAGCATGCTAACTGATCATCAGATGTTTCAACAATGAGAAGGGCAGTTCAAAAATTTATCAGCTACATAGCTGGCAAAGCAGCAGTGTAATACAGTTGATCATACTGTGCCAACTTGCGTAATATGAATCCAGTTGGGGCCTACGCCATACTCACGGAAGTCCCGGTACCAGGACAAGCCTGCTGCAGAGTAAGCTTGTTTCGGGATTCTTTCGTTTTGGAATTAATTGGGACAACTGTTTCAGATCCAGGATCATCAGATGATGATGAAAGCTCGGAGATCACCGCCAAAGATCGTAAACCGGAGTAAAACATGTTCATGCTTATAGTAGCTCTGAAACCCGAGCTGCGTTAGTGCTCTGTAAATACTCTGAATCTACAATATCTCATGTGCTTGCGTTGTTATGAATTTCGGGTGGGGTTTTTCAGTTTATTTGGGTCACTGATCAATTCGACTGTTCAAAAATTAACTTGTTTCTTGAGGCTACCCATGAAATCTGGGCAAATTTATTTGCTTGCACTATTGTAAAAACTTTTGTATCTACAGTATCTTTGTGCTACTGTACCTGCACTTTCATGGTTGCACCAGTAATAGCAATTTAGCTCATATATTGACAAAAATCTCAGCCTTAACCATCTCATGTCGAACTGATGTCTCTAAGATACTTTTTACTTTAACACTTTGGTCGCTTTTTGACTGGCCTGTTCCTCTTATTGTTCATAGCCTACTTTTCCATCTGGAAACTTTTTTCAGCTATTTTGACCATGCTACATCGCCTGATGGCCGGCTTGCTGACAATCGTGGCATTCATTTCCTTCCCTGGTGGGACTTCAGCTCAGCTGTTTTCCTCACAGAAACACTTTTCCAACTTGTTTTCACCATTTTCACTAGTGCAAAAACTTTTGTATCACTGTATCTACAGTATCATTCTGAAAGTTCCGAATAGGAAGCTGTACTGAGGTTTCCCACTCCTACTCGCGACAGGTGCTCTTTCTGTGTTTACAGATAAAGGGATGAAACAGAAACTG